TCTTGGTGTGAGATTCCTGTGTTTTCTGTAGGAAAGTGTGTGCACTCTAATGCAAAAGAAGTCAAGTTAATTGCTTATTGTGTTCAAAGGTGTGATTTGTGTTTTGAATATAGCAAATGTGAGGAGAGATTTTGTTCTCTGAGTGTCAGTTTCTGCAGTTGAGCTTTACATTAGATTTTAGTGTGTTAGCAATTGGAAAAAACTGTAAGAAGAGTCGAATTTTCTGCCTCTAAGAATATTTACTGTAAAATTGATTCAGTGTGATTATAGACTGATTCTAAATTTATAATAAAAAAAAAAGTACAAAACTAACTGCCAGTGACTGGAGGGACACCCTGGACGGGATGCCAGTCCTTCACAGGGCACAAGGCAGGGACACCCTGGACAGGATGCCAGTCCTTCACAGGGCACAAGGCAGTGTGTGTGTGTGTGGTGTGTGTGTGGATTAGGTTTACATTACATTGTGGGAACCAAATGTATATGTGATTTTGTGTGTTGAGAAAGGTAAAAGAGATGTATAGGGAGGAATAAATGAGAGAGAAGAGAAGGAGGAATCAAAAGGAAATTAACCTGGGGGGGGTACTAGTTGTTATTTGTCCAGGATATCTCTGTATCCAGCAAAGGCCCAATGAGTCACCCCATGTTCCCCAAGGGCACCAGCAGGCTGGGCCCCCCCATACACTGCCAGTGGGCTAGAGGGGGAGGCATGGTGACCCCCCAGGACAGTTACTCACCTGTGACAGCCACCCACCTGTTAGGTAGTACCAATGTCCTCAAAACGGCCCACATTCCTTAATGGTTTATTCTGTTATATAGTAACATAGCTATTACTATATTTTGTCATATAGTAATACCTAAATAATTAAGATTAATAGATGTTTTCAAAATTCTTAAAAAATGGTGTTAAATTTAAGCATGACAGATTTGACACTTAAAGGATAATGCATTATGACATACTGTGCTAATATACATGAAATGACTAAGAGAACGATCTTTCTTAAAATGGTGGTTTTCTTTGAAAAATCATTGTGTATATACCAGTACTGAATGTATGAGTATGTTCATGAAAACTACTCCCCTTGAAAATGACAGCCTTGACAGAGGACCATGTTACACAGGGACTGGGAAAGACAGAAGCACTTTTATTATACTACAGAGTTTTCCATAACAGCAATATTAATACAACTTGCAACTACAGTTAAATTTCCCCATAAGAAATAATGAAAATGAATTTAATCTGTTCCAGACCTCCAAATGATTGCCTATTTAAACATATCTACCTAACTAACTAATGATAAAAACATTAACAATCAATATAAAACAAATACCCACATGAAAAAGAACACATACAAAAACAATACACATGAAATAAATGACAATCCCACACTCCGAAGTGAGAGCAGACACACATGCATCACCTTCAAGTCTCGCTATCATTTCCTTTTAAGTTCTACAGTTACTCTCACTACTTTCCTCTTTCGTTTGCTGCTATCACTTGTCATTTTGTTAGAGGCCATGATTACTGTATCACTAAATGTACTATAGATAAATCACAAAATAATCACACTGAACACAGCAGCACAGCTTTCGCACGTCAAACTCGGCCGAGAGGAATGATAAGACTGAGATTCATAGGAATCAGCATCCCAGTAGGCCGGTCTGCCTTTATTTAGCCCATCAGAGATGCGTCTCAATTCATACAAGTTTTAGCGGGTCTGTTTCGTTTTGTTGTGTTCCGAATTTTCGGTCGACATGCGACTTGGTTTTTCTTGACCGACTCATTCACGGTTCAAATTGCTCATACAAATTTTAGCAGAAACAGTCCAGTTCCAAGATTTCGGTTGAGGTACAAGTCGAAAAAAATTTGTCCAAACCATTTGATGTCCGAGTTGGTTGAGTTAAGAGGCGTTTGAGTTCCAAGGTTCGACTGTATATTTCACTGCAAACACATATAATACACACAAGCAAGGTAGGAGCACATATAATATCAAGCAGTTTACACAGTAATATATGTCACTACATATTAAAGATCAGTTACAATGAGACCAATAATTAGGATGTTTGTGTTTGGCATAATAACTAATATAAAACAGAATCTAAGTTGTCTAAATCATTTTCTTTCCACTAGTAGCTACATTCAGATATTTAATGATAATTAAGATCTAAAGATATTTATCTTTTTTTTTAAATCAGAACTTAATTTCAAGAATTAACACTAAATCAAAGAAAGGTAATACACGCTTTGCTAATGTGCATAGGCTGTGTATTTTCAATTAACCTTCATTTATATAGCAATGTTTTAACCACAGGGTTTACAAAATGCTTTACAAACATTTTAAAACATGAAAAATAAAGAAAATTAGAATAAGAAAAAAAAAATAATAATAATGATGATAAAATTCAAACAGAACCGTGGGACCGTAACCTCTACAACACCGGGGACTTTGATTAAAGATTAAATGTTTACACTTTTTTACCCCATGATAAATGATAATTATAAATCTTTTATTTTCCATTTGCACATGTACAGGTACACAATGTCTATAACTAAAACACTACACGTTTCCTTGTGAGATTTATCTTGCATATGCATCACTGCAGTAGTTTTAGTCTCCAGCACTGATTCCTTTGTGATGCTCCACTTATCATAAGTGGAAATGTAGGACTTGTAGGGGATCCAGTTTCCACTGGCACAACTCCTGAATGTACGATCACTGCATACCATGTACGAGCAAAAATTATTTGAAAATTCATCTGTTTAATCATAATGAATGCAACCTAGTGCACTGGACCGGTGAAACCGAACACTGTGGTCACCAGAATGGTTACTGATAGTATTTGTGCAGATGGCGTAGCAGGAAGGGCACTGAGCCCAACATCCTTCGAGCTGTTTGTAGAGAATCTCTGTTATTTTCTGCTTTAAGAGGCATAAATGCTGGGAAGATGCATTAAAACTTTCCATATTTTCACTTTTAATCACCTCTTCAAAATACTTGGCCATCATGTCTTTCAGAAACTTTGTATCATTCTGTTATACTTTTCTTAAGTTCTATTAACATTTTACAATTTTTATGGGTTTCTTCAATGAGCTCATTCTTCAGGCTCTCAAGTCGGTTTTCAACATTCCCTTTCCATTTAATAAGGATTTCAGCATGTTTGTCTTCTTTGAAATGTGCTTCAATCTCCCTTTTCAATGCTTCATCAAAGTCAGAAATCAGATTTTTGGGATTGACATCCACAATTTGGTTGCTTCCAATTTGGTTTTTCAACTTGGTCTGTGTTTCCAAAGAATATTTTCTTAACTTCCATGACCACTGATAATACTTCTCTTCCAAGCTGCTGTAAACCATAATTTCCTATGTATTTTTGAAGCTGAAAACAAAATTTTCCTGGAGAAGTGCA